CAGCCCAGGGGACTCTGAAGGCAGCCCCCAGACCCTTGTAGCAGGGCTGTCCATCCCCAGGGAGCAGCTGGCCACCTCCTACTGCCTCCGTGAAGTGACCAGGGGCCAGTCTGCTCCCACCTCCCGTCCAGGGCAGGGTGAACATTTGATCTCACTGTCCCCTGCCTGGCTGAGTCCCTGGTATCTGACTCTGCCACCCAGCAGCTGCCAGGGTCTCTCACCATGTGGACCCTGCCCTAGCTGCACCTGCACCTCCTGTCAAAGTGCGGACTCACAGGCTTCACCCCAAACCACAGAATGGGAATGCCTGGGAGTGGGGCCTAGGAACCTGCATCGTGTAAAAGCTCATCAGATCACTCTGATGACCCTGGAGTGTGAGCACCCCTGCAGTGTGAGCACCTCTGCAGTGTGAGCACCCCTGCAGTGTGAGCACCCCTGCTGTGGCCGTCAGCGGGGCTTTGGGGGTGATTGTCCCAAACACATTTCTCTGGGTGACGCAGGCAGCATTGGAGCATGAGTCGTGGGGAGGACAGTCGTGAGCACACCAGCCATGAGGCCTGGTTTCCATGCCTTCCCCCCGGACTCTACCCCTGGGTCCTGGGGCGTGCCTCTGAAAGAGTCCTGGCCTTTGGGACTGATCATTTTGAGGTCCTTTTACAAAGAAATGGGGGAGAAGAATTAGCTAATTCTTCTTTTTAATGTGCAGTATTTTTTTTGTTCAAGACCAGCTCTTGTTTTATGAGGCTCCTTCCATTACCTTTCTTGGGCTGAATACAAAACAAATACAGCCATATTCAAGTTTTCCAAGGAAGTGAAAAGCTCTTTGAATGGTATCTTAAGATCCTTAAGCTCTTGCTGAACTTCCTTTATCAATGAAAAGAAGGACTGTTGTCCTAGGACGGTCACCAGCCCAAGCCACCACCCCAGCCACCCATCCAGGAGGTTGGTTCCTTTTGCCCAGTACATAGCAGCTCAGTCCTTACCAAATGGATTCTTGGTGTTGGAAAGCGGCCTCTTTTTATTCCTGAAAACCAGTGCCCTGCCCGTTTGCAGTAGAGAATCCCCAAGGAGCAAGAAAGATGACAGAAGTGTGGCTGCCATGTTTCTAGGTCACGAGAGCTCTGGTGGTACTATCACAAGGCCTGTGCATAGGTTCTATGATAACTTCAGTCTTCCATCATGTTCACCACCAGCCCTCCCTGAGTGCCCAGAGGAGATGGGGGCAGAGTCACTTGGCCTGTTAAAGCCTCCTGTTCCTTCTGGCTCATGCATTGCTTTGTGGCAAGAGAAAGGAAGTCTTTAGACCAGTGCCTTCTCCCTACTGAGTCCCCAGTCCTGTCCCTTCCCCTCCTCCAACCTTGTTTTCTATAGCCACATTTTTTTTTTTTTTTTTTTTTTTTTTTTTTGAGACAAGATCTCATTGTGTTGCCTAGGCTGAAGTGCAGTGGCATGATCCTGGCTCACTGCAGCCTTGAACTCCTGGGCCCAAGCTGTCCTCCTGCCTCAGCCTCCCAGGTAGCGGGGACCATAGGCGTGCACCACCATACTCAGCTAATTTTTTAAATTTTTTTGTAGAGACGGGGGTCTTACCATGTTGCCCAGACTGGCCTCGAACTCCTGGACCCAAGCTATCCTCCTGCCTCAACCTCCCGAAGTGCTGAGATTATAGGCATGAGCCACTGTCCCTGGCCTATAGCGGTCATTTTTTAAAAAGGTATTTTAAAATTAAAAGCAAACATCTTCCGCCTATCCACCTGTCCCGGATAAGGTATATTTGGACAGTGAACGGATTTAACTCTCTTGAATGCATTTGAGCTCTTCACCGAAGAGCCTTTCTTGCTCCAGGCATGACATCGTTTTCACCAGATGTTCACTGACTTCGTGCCTTTGAGGTGAGACATGGGGTCTCTTAGAAGCGTCTCTGCATCTGCATTTCAGGAGATGAGCTGCTGTCCCTGGTGGACGGAGGCGGCCTCTGCCATGGTCACCATGATGACCTACAAGTGTTTATTGAGTCCCTTGGGGGCACCCAGAATACCACCCAGAATAGCAAGAAGACCCAGCCCCCGCCTTGCGGAGGACGCACTCGCACCCCACAGCAACCCATTCTCACCTCTTCCTTGGCCAGGAACCCAGGGCTCCAGGACTGCCTGCTGTTGCTGTGTCCTGCGCAGCCACAGGAGGCTTCCTGAAAGGCATTGCTCGGAGGGGCGGGAGCAGGGAGGCCTGGCCTGCCCCACAGACACAGCTGTGCAGCCTGGGTCGTACACACATCGGCAAGCAGCTGCCGAGACAAATAGTGGTGGGAAGTCCTGGGGACACACACAGCCTTTGCATTGACAGCATAGTAGGATCAGAGCCCAGGTGAGCCCCTGGGGATACCAAGGCCTTCCCTTCCTGAAACCGGGAAATCTCCATGCCTCTCCTAGGAGCCTGGCCCCACTGTAGAAATCCCTCCTCTTCCTCCACACCCTGTCCTTTCCCCAAAGGCTCGGTTGTCAGTTGCAGCTACCCATTGACTTCCCCACTGAGCTGCTGC